AACCAAAATCCCTGTTTGATGATATGTAGAAATTATAAGGAATTTTAGTTGAGAGAAAGAATTGAAGTATGAAGAAATTAAACTTCAACCACATATAGTCTAATTCAATTTAATTCTTTTAATTTGATTTGGAATGAATGTTGAGGGTCCTTGTTTGAGTTTTGCTTAGGATTCTTTTGTGATTTGATAAATCCTTTGTGTGTCGTGGACTATTATTAAGTTTGTTGTTCATAATAATGATTAAAATCAACCTTTCAAGGTTTACCTAAAATAAAAATATGTTTGTTGCTTAGGAAATGTTGAATATAAAGTCTTTTAAGATAATAGTTTATCACTTCACACTAATTGATAACGACTGGAAAACCTTAAATATTTTCATGTCCATGAATCTTTCTGGAGTGTCTGGTGGAAGTTATTTTAATTACAGTTCTTCATTATAGGCAAAAACCCTAGACTGATGAAGAGGATGGTTGAAGTACTTCATAGAAGTTATTCTAGTGTAATCTGAAACCAAAACTTAGCCAAGGTTTTAATACTTACAACTAGGTCCCCTTAAATCATAGTTAATATATATCTTTATATCAAGAAATTGACACAGCTTTTAAAAGTGTACTTCTATAATACAGTACTTCATTTAGCATTGGGATAAGGCCATAATTGTTTTATACTTAATTTAGTTGAAGCTTTTCTCATCTTCCTTTATTATTCTTGTAGTGGATTGGAATGTGCAACAATTCTTCATGACACAGGAAGCCAAGAAATATGCTGTTTATTTTAGTATTAAAAATAAACTTAGTTCTGCATTTCTTCTCCAATGTATTTCACTAGCATACAAATGGTGATGAAGTATATATAGATTAATTTGGTTATGTTTTTAGGTTTATATTAGACTAAAAGAACTAAATCAAGTGGCAATATATGGGAATTGTTTGTCATATAAAACCTGACAAATAGTCTAAACCAATAGTTACTAATATGCTTCACAATCTATCTTTCCTCTTTCTACTTTTACCATGAAGTTAACCTTATGTATCCTATAACTTTCATCAATGAGAATGGCCAAGATTAAAAGGTGGAAGTTGAAGTTAAAAATACAGTTCCAAGAAGTAGTGACCAAGAGTAAACATTTAAGTACATCCTAACCCCATACCCACCACCTCTCAGATTTAATTAAAGCATTTTTGTACCCTTTTTATCAGCAAAAGAAGAAACGTGTTCACTAAATTGTACCAAGGGCACTCCAATCCAAAATATATACAGATGAAAAAGACCCAACAAAGCTTCCCCACAAATAAACTAAATCTACTAAAAACAACCTAATTATTCACCAGATATAATAAACAAGTTTCTGGTTCAGTACTCCTCTTAACTTGCTAATCCAAATGAGTATGAAACTATGGCAAAAAGGGATCTGAACCTGGCTTTTTCCAACCATGCATACAAGGATAATGTGCTGGTTTTATCAGGTAGGTGATGGAAGTTTTTGTTGCTGCTATACTTGCTCTAAACTATATGAAGTTAATTAAGGAGGCTAACTTGTTCACTTTTGTGAGGGTGAAGAACAATTCATCTGACAAACTATAATGGCGATAAGAGAGGCTCTGGCAGTAAAGTGTTAAAGCAGAACTAATGAATTTAATTAAACACTGCTTTGTATCAGAGGTGACATCATGAAAAGAAAAGAAAAGAAAATAACGGCCGCTTTGATTTGACACCACCGTTTTGAGAAGAACTAAGATAAGAAGAAACATTATTAAATCTTTAATTGTTTAGTAAAATAGAATGAACTTGAAAAAGAGAGGAAGTGTTTTGAAAGTTACAAAATTGGATTGATTTAATGTCAAACAAGTTAAGAGATAAAAAAAAGGTAAATAAAAATATGTGAAAAATAAAATAAGTTAATTTCATTAATATTTTTTCTCTTTTCCCTAAATTAAACAACCAAAATTAATTAACTCCCTCTTCCTTCCTCTACCAAACTAAAGAGTAGCATTGTCATTTCTTTTATTATCAACTATTCATACAAGAAATGGTGAAAATTTTTATTTTTTTCCATTTGCTTCGCAATTCTTTGATAATCATAATGAAATTAAAATAAAAAAAAATCTTTTTATAATTATATATAGCAACAATAAAAATAAAAACATAACACGTCGTCTTTAATTTGAATATAGTGTTAGACTCTTAGTACATTAAAAACCGTTTAATCATTTACAGTAGAGAAAAACATTTTTATTCTATTCATTAATAAATCTTTATTGAATTCATCCATCAAAGTAAAAGATTAAAAGAAAATCTATTGGACCCTTATTTTCTTATAAGGTTAAAAGAAACCCTAGTCTTGTTTTGATATTACGAAGAAGATATATAAATTGTAGTTTATTTTGAAAGGAAGTTGATTTACCAGTACTAAGTAAACAAGAGCAAATAGCATGGAAAAAAACACAGCATATAAGCCTGAATATAAATTTTCCCGCATCTTAGAAGCCAAATTTTGAAACCTTTTAACTTGTTTCGTAAATGCTGCAAAAAGAAGACAGAAGAAAATAAAATTTCAAGAGTTAACACTTCAAGAAAAAAACAAATAACTAAAAGAGGGTTTGAAAACAGTTGTACATATGTAAAACAATTTTTTTGTCAAAAATTTAAAGGAATATGTAGCAACATAAAAGAGAATCTAAGTTTTTAAGTAAGAAAATGGTTTACTGAAAACATTGAAAATAAGCAGAATAACATCATACATGGTGCATCCAATGAAATGGCTGAGATCTCCATACAAACACCATTCTTGACTGTCATAATTAGTATTTGAGCATGTTTATGACATAGAACTAAGATATTCTTTGTTGGTCCCAAATGAATGTAGTAAAATATTTTACCTTGGAAAAGAGTATAATCAACTAAATTCCTTCATCTATGACAAAAAAGGTTGATCTATATATGTCACCTAGAGAGTTTAAGTTATGTTCAATAATTTGCAAAGTTTTATTAAAAGCTTTTGTTTGGAGTAGGTACTAACATCATGATAATTTAAAAGTTCGTGATGATGATTTGAAACATCAAGGAAAATAATAGTGATCCAATAACATTATAAAATATACAAGAACAATATGTCTTGTTTTTCCTGGTTCCAAGCTACGTAAAATTTGTTAATTAGGTATAAGAAATGCTGTTTTCAATTGATATTTCTCAATATTCCTGTTAAAAGGAGCAGAAGAAATATTGATAAGCTCACTTGAATGCATGTCTTCTCACATCATTTTTTGTTTCAGTCGGATTTTTATTTTATTTAACTTCCTTAGCAGTTCAAAGAGGGTTAATTAATGGAGACAACTACCACCACACACCCCTCAGAAAAAGGAAAAACAAAGACATAATTAGTATTAAAAAATATGTGAATTTCACAAAACCACATGAATAAATATGTACGAATAAGCATAACGAAGTGTTATGTTCATATTTTAAGATTTTTTCCTTGTTTGTTAACTCGTTCTCCAAAGTCTGTTTGCAGACAATTCAATTATTTTATGCAGCATTTCATTATGCTTTTTATACACACACACACACACTTGGTATACTAGGATTTATTCGAACAGTACACAGAAACTATATTGCTCTCCAAAACTGGCAGCACAATTCTCAAGTGCTCCAACAAGGAGAACCTCCAAGTTCAAATTCAAAAATAGAAAATCTTCTTGCCTGTGTATACTAAGGGAAAAACGAAAATTTCTATATCACCAAGGTTATATATATGCTAAAATCACTGTCATATCTAAGTTTTTATACTTAACGAAAGCTACACCAAGCTCACATATGGCTCGTTTTGCTGTTGTCTCGGACTTGATTGCTAAATAGACTAATCTTATGTTGAACTTTTTGTTGTTTCAAATAAACAAATATACATAAAAGATGGTTATAAGTATTCATATATAAAAGGAATTATAGTATTTAATGTTATAAATGGACTTGCATCATGATTCTTAGAAAAAAAAAACTTTTTATATCATAGATTCTTCGGACCAATAGTAATAATAGCCTGAGAACATGTGAACTCGTTATGCTAAAAACTGTGTTCACACTGCACATTTTTTCATTAATGATATAGTTGCATTTTCCTTTCTTTTTTTATTTTAGTTTGGAACATCACATTAAGGTTTTCTTCACTTTGTTCGATGATGAAAAGAAAGTGGAGTCTCCAATCCTACTAATTAATTCTAAATAAAATACTTATTGCTGTGGTGATTTACAGGAGGAATCAAATCTATCGTTATGTGGTGCTGAGAGTACCTTTATCTCTCTCTCCATGAACATTGTAAATGTCAGTTTTCAGTACATATGATACATCACTAACCTACATGTACAAGCTCCTTCTTTACAAGTTAATGAGGGAGCAAGTTCCTTTTATTCTTCCACCCTTTCATTATAATGTTTGGTTGAGGAGGTTAAATATGTTAAAACTACTTACCAAGATATATAACCTCGTTTTTGGTTGGATTTTAACTTAGAAAATCCTGCAGCCTAATAGAAGAAGCCATATCAAGTTACCCCAACCCATCAATCTCAGAATTTGTTAACCTCTAAACAAGGATAGGAAATTAGGAATGATTAGGTTCATTTCAGATGAAAAGCACTGTCAACTACAATCAATTTTGTTTTTTAATGTCAAGTAATTATATTTGGACACTCATCCATTAGTATAGACACTCATTGACACTTACCAGTTCTCTTTATCTCCTATTTCATGATATTATATCTATAGTTCTCTCTTCTTTCTAGTGTGTGTATTAAGATGTAGGTTCATACATTATTTCAAGTTCCATAAAAATCTCTTTGCTTAGCTCCAATAGTGCACCTCAAAAAATTAAAATAAAATAGTACTGAATAACAAATTAAACCAGATCCTATCCAGTGTCCACCACTGTGTATTCGTGTTTATGACAGTTACATGACAGTATACATGTACATGTGTGTTTTGTAGGTGTGCATGAAATTTACTAGTTTCATGAGGGGGTGCTAAAATTACAGGAAGCAGAAGCAATCAGACAATTAATTAAAGAAGAAGAAGAAGAAGAAGGAAAGGGAAAGTTGAAGGAGGAGAAGAATGGTGAGTACCTGGAGCTAGCAAATTCATAGAGCTTCCCTCTTGGAGAGAAGATTATAAGAGCAACCTCAGCATCACACAGAACTGATAGCTCAAAAGCCTTCTTCAGCAACCCATTTCGCCGCTTTGAGAAAGTTACTTGCCGGCTTGTGGCGTTCTCTATACGCTTCATCTGGGTCTTTCCTCTCACCATCTCTTCTTCTTTCTGCTCACTCGAATCATTAGTACCCGAAAATACATACGAAACTAGAAAATTACTTTCATAGACACACCATATATTGGGTCAAGAAGAGAAAATTAGTTTAATACACACACATATTATAAGTATAAGGTCAAGAAGAGAGTCCTCACCAAGTAGGTAGAGAGCAAGCCAAGAAATTAAACCTTCTGATGATGAGGAAATGGAGAGATTTGCAGCAAATCTGAGCCCTCCAAGTAAGACTTGAAGACACAGAAGCCTATAGAAGATAGAAAAATGCAACAGATTAGAAGCGTTATCGGTCCAAGGGTTCATTAAATTCCAAAAAAAAATGTGAAATATTTATGAAGGAAGGAGTTTACAAAGAAATGGGAAGTCAAAGAAAAAGTAGAAGAAAACAAAAACTAAATCCCTACAAACATTCAGATTTCATTGAACAGGAAAATGAGTAATTCAAGTTCCATCCCAACAAAGGATCTAAACACCCAAAAAGAAAAGGGTATTTTTTTTTTTTGGTTGCTGACAGGAAGATACTTACCAGCTAGAAAAGCAACTTCAGATATAAGCACTTCTCTCTCAGTATTCAAGAAAAAAAAAAAGATTTACACCGAATTGGCAAAATCAAGGGAAATCCTTTTAACCAAGAGAGGAAGCTAGGAATAGTAAAAGCTTGGGCTAAGAAAAGGGAAAGGAAAGAGAGAAAATGAGAGGAAAGAATCCAAAGAAAGCAAGAAGCCCACAGGAGAAAGAACACACACACTGCACATAAATAGAAAGAGAAGAAAAAGGGAATGCTACATTATTGAGATACGTTGAAGAAAGAGTTGGATTTGACCTATCTCTAGCAAAGAGAGCACATACACAGACCAGGTTTCCTTATTCATCCACCTTGTGTTGCCAGCACCATATTAAGAAACAAATTATTTTTTATATGATTATGGAAAATTGAAACCTCATCCCTTGCTTGTTTTGGTAAAACAACACGCCAACCTCCCTCCCAAAAAAGAAATTCCACGTTAATGAAAAAAAATATGAATATGATGCTGCAATTTTTCTATAAAAGGACATTGAAAAAATTATGCATAGAAAGGACGACAGTGAAGTCTATGTGGAACCTTTCACAAAAAATAATATATTTATACTATATCGTCTCCTGCTGCAAGGTTCAAATTGCTCCGTTGGTCATATTCTTTGTACGTATGCACTCTAAGAAATAAAGTGCAAAAGAAAGAAACCTCTTCGACCTTTACAAAGTGGTTTTACACTTTTTCACAAGGTTTTCTCAGTTTATTATGATTAAGCTTACGAAGACAATTTCATTTGGTAAAGTAAGACTATATATAAACATGTATACATGTACACATTTTTAGTATTGCTTACGTAAACGTGCTGATGACACTCCTAAGCTTAAACAAACATTGATCACCATGAAAGTGAAAGAATGAAATTTGTTTTGATTTTCATTTACAGATTATAGTTATGGTTGTTTTGATATTAAGAAAATGGGAAATGAGAGGCATGAAAAAGGAGAAAAGGAAAGTGGGGTGGTGGTGGTGGTGGTGGTGGTGGTGGTGGAGGCACTGTGGAGGCACAGCATCACAGTGAAAAATAGAGAAATGGTACAATGTTAGAAACACGTCAACTTCGTCCGTACAACATCGTACACAGACTTACCAATCAGGCCTCGAAAACTAGGCACCTTCCCATCAAGTGTAATTATGACCATTATGTTGCATTCACACGTCATACTCTGTTTTCTTTTATTTCTCAAATATCAGTTTTTTATATACATAAATGACAACTCATAAATTTGGGTTGAAAACTCGAACTGAATACATACATTCTATGTTCTATTTTTATGATCAAAGTCAATTTGTTAATTAAATCCAAATTTAATGAGGAGTAGATGTAGATGGTTCAGAGTATCTAGGAGTTCCAACTGCCAAGGAAGCAACAAAACTCTTACACGCTGAAATCACATGCATCATATTGCTTTGCAAAAATTCATAACAAACGACGTTGTTTTGGTTTATTTATTTTAAGTTGACTAGTCAATTTGGAGGTTTTAATTTAATATTTCAATTTAATAAATTAAAAAACAAATGAAGAAAATAATATCCTTTGTGTTCATCTTTAATGGATCTGTACATATTATTATTAAAATATAATTCAATTTTTATATGAAATTATCTATAAAATTAAATTAAAAATTAATAATAATAATAATATATAAAGACATATTTTAAATTAAACATAAAATTTAGTCTTAGAGGCATTTTATTAATTTATATGAATATTTAAAGATTACATCTTTCTTATGTGACATCATCAATTTGTTAAAAACATTTAAGATATTGATAAAGTTTATAAAATTTAAAGGTTTTAATAATAAAATACATGAAAATAAACTTCAGTAATAGAATTTATGAAGTAACTGTCTTTTATTTAAGATAACATCAATAAAATCACAATACTATTATTAGTTTTTGAAATACTAATAATTATAATTTTATATGATTATTTATAATTATTAATGGTAGTAAAGGAGAAAATAAGAGGATTTGAATGAATATTATTTTTTTGCTTGTACGTTACTAGTGAAAACCCGTTTATTTATGTTAGTTACATTAGAATTGATTTAAATATAAATATGATAGTGTTTTTATAATAATTGACAGATTTTTTAAATTGGTTGTTAATATAATCGATGTAGACAATTTTTTATATAATATCACTTTATTTTTTTATTTTCTTGTTATTACTTTAAACTTATTTCTTTCTTTTGTGTTGTTGTTGTCATTGTACTTTTTTAAATCTCATTTTTTTGAAGATCATTCTTTATGAAGTTTTTTTATTTGAAACTCTTTTTCTTTGAATTTTTGAAGTTTTTTCTTTTCAACATTCTTCCTTTCTAAATCTCTTCCTCTCTAAAGATTGTTCAACCACAATAGCGGAACAATGTTATTATGTAATTATCCAATGATTAGTAGTCACCCTAATGCGAAAAAAAATGAAAATGAAATTATTCTCTACTGTCTACGATGTTTTATTCATTTATATCATTCTCATCTCGCATCTTTCTCTTGTTGTCATTATTCTAAGTAAGTATATTAATTCTATTTATTTACCTATTTATATGATAAACTTTATCAAGAATGGACAAAAAATTGTTGTTAATGTTATATATTGTTATGTTATATTATATATTAATGATTATTTGTGAAAATGTTGATATTTATAAGCACAATATATATAAATTTTCTTTTTAAAAACAAGTGAACATATAACATCAGTTGTAAAAAAACTTATGTAATATGTCACCTTTTACATTGGTTATAATCCAAAATTGATTTAAAAAGTGACATAATTATTTTTACCATCGATGTTATAGATATACTTTTTTTTTTTATCAATTATCAATGTAAATATTCTCATACTTTCTTGACATTTATATCAATTTAACAATTAATGTGAAATGTTGAAAAGAGCTAATATGAAAGCCCTGATTTCTAGTAGTAGTGCGTGTAGAAAAGTAAGACAAGCACTCATGGCAAGTTCATGTTCCCTACTTGCCCTTTCTGTCCAAATATTATCCTCACAGGCTTCAAATTTATTTATTTTTTGTCTTTTTATTCATATATTTAAAATCCAGTTTATATATAAATTTTAAATTTTATTTCAAAATTTTAAAATAATTACATAATATTTAATTATATTTTACCTTTTATCCATGTGTGTAGCATACGTGTGAACACAAAAAAGAATCTCACAACAAAATAAAATAATAATAATAATAATAATAATAATAATAATGAATCATACAATTATCGGCAAACACATTTTTCTTCTCTTCTCATTGTAATAAGTTTCTTTTACCCACCAAACAACTCTCACGCACCCTCTATCTAGTATTCACGTACTTGCTCAAATCTATTATTTCTTCTTCTTCTTAAAATCATTGACTTAAAAAGAAACACCCTCACATTTTTTTTTCACATGTTTTTCTCATACCATTTCTCGATGCTCTAACAAAGTATGCTTTTATCAACCGAGATTCGAGCTATGTTCTTTCTCTGTTCATTTTACTTTTAAGGTTTCGATTTCAAAAAATTTCAACTTTGTTGTTTTGTTTCAATCTAAAGTTTTTTCCTTTAAAAGATTCCGAATAGGGGTATTACGAACTCTAATATTGGTTTTATTCTATGATTTCATAATTTTTTTTCAAAAAAAAAAATCGATTTTGAAGCCTTTTTTTTCATTTACACTAATTAGGTTTATTAAGAACCCTTATTTTGCAATTCCAACAAGATTTTAAAGATTAGGGTTATTTTCCAACCCTAAAATTGGGCTTAGATAAGTTATGTTCCTTCTTCCATGTTACTTTTAAGGTTTAGATCAAAATATTCCAACTTTTGTTGTGGTTTGCTATTGGATCCAAAGTTTTTCCTTTAAAAGTTTCAAATTTTGAAGTAAATTTTGCATTTAAGGTGATTAGGGTTATAACAAACCCTAATATTGGGTTTCTCTAGTGATTTCAATCCTAAGATATGCTTTAGCACTATTTTTTTTTCCTATTTCATTGCTATTTCAGTGTCTTGTGTTATGAAAAAAAAAAAAGGTAAGTTTCAAAAATAAGGTAATAGTTTTCTTTTCCTGTGTTTCACTTTTATCTAAAGTTTTTTCCATCAAAAGTTTATAATTTTGAAGTTATTATTTCATTTAAGGTGATTAGGGTTATTGTGGAAGCTCAAATGAACATTAATTGAAACCAAAATATATGAATAAATTAAATCTATCTTTTCCGAATAATCTGTTATTTCCCTATTTTATAACTATTTCATTATCATGTGTTGTAGAGCTACTACTACATGCATACAAAATGAAAGATGACCTACTTAGACAAATAAAACCCAACAAGAGTTAGCCTAAATAAGATAACATGTTGATCTTCTGTATAAAAAATTGACTTTCAAATTTTAGATTTTAAAATTTAAAATTTGAAATTATTTTATTTAAAATGAAATTGTATTCAAATACACTATTAAACTTTTGAAAAAAAAAATAAAGAGCGTAGGTACCATATGTAAAAACGATTATAAAGTATAAATTTACAACATATAAATTTTGATAATATCTTTGTTTAATCAAATGTTTACGTCAAGCTTGAGTCCATTAGGAAGGTGAAACCTAAAACAAATGTGTGAACCAAATCCAAACCTTTGCCCTGTAACTAAAATTACTAAGTATGTGGTATATATAGTCAATATTTTATTGTTCCCTTGAAAATTTGGTTATATATTTAAAATTTTAAAACTACTTCGCTATAAGACATTTTGTTACAGTTATTTTTAAAAGAAAAATACTAGAAAACCGTGATTTTAAAATGTTTTTTCATACATTTGTTTCAGATTTTCAAATAATAAGAATGAACAAAAATAAAAAAAAATCAGAAGTTACCGTGCATAGTTTCTTTCTAAGGGTCGATGTCTAAGGTATGGTTCATTTTAGAGTTTTTGTCCATTACAATTTTATTTTTAAAATATGTTTTAATAAATTAAGAAAAAAAAATATAAATTATCCTTATTTCGCTCATTCATAAATATATCAAAATATTATTATTATTAAATCATGTTGGTAGAACTGAAAACAAAATAAAATGAAATCAAACGCAATTGTTTTAAGTCGATTTTTTTAGTAAGATTGAATTTGAACAACTTAATTACTAGAAAGAGATTATAACCTAGTTCATAAACATTTGTACAAGATTTTCGGGTTTCAATTTTTTTTCTAAGTTCATGGATCATAATTTATTTGAAATGAAAAAGTGTACTTCAACCTTATAAATTAGAAAACGAAATTTACATCTTAATTATATATTATATGTTAATGATATCTTTAATTAAAATAAAATCTCAAATATCTCCTAAAGAGTAAATGACTGAAAAATATAATATATTATATTTTAATTATATCTTTAATCAAAATAAGATCTTAAATGTCAATAAATATCTTGAAAATATAAAATTAAATATTAAGAGATAGCACGACAAAAAACATCAAAGAATTAGAGATAAATAAATATATAAGTCAATAAATCTCCGCTAATATCATATTAAAATATAATATTTAACTCAATGTAAAAAATAAGATTTAAGCATCAATTACATATTATAAATTAACTTTAATTATATATAAATGAATTATATCTCTAAATGATTTCTATCCAAATATTTTAATCAAAACTGAGGAGAATCCCATAACTTGTGTTAAGAAAATATGATAAGAAAAATAACGCCCAAACAAAGTAAGATAAGGCACTGAATGTTTAAGAATAAAGAAATACAAATTATTTTCAAATCAAATGTCATTAGAATTCAATCATAGTCACTCTAGAATTATTGTAACTTCTTAAATTTTCTCAAGTCTCTGCTGCTACCTCAACACGTGGTATAAGTTGATTTCTTCCCTTTATATATATAAATAATAACTTGAAGTTCATTTGATATAATTTTGAAAGCTGTGAATGGGTGTGAATAATTAATTGTGTTAGTGGTCACGAAGAGGGTGATGGAGACATCAACAAAACAATCAGAGGAAGGTTACATTTGAGGAAGTTACTACAAATATATATTTTTAAATGAAAATAGATAACTTTTTATATTTGTGAAACCATTTTGCTTAATCATTATCCAAAACTATCATTAATGATAAATTTATTAACTTTAATAATAATTATTATTTATCATTTATATATATAATGTGGATTAAAATACTACATCCAAACGATGTATGATTCAAATATAATATATAAATGGAAACCAATTTTCCTCTTATAAATTAATTTTATTTTATTGAATTAATTGTAAACTTAATTTTAACTAGTACTAGATCCATTTTAATAATTGTCATTGGAGTTACTGAACCATTTTTTAATTGGAGTTATTATTTACAAGAATTACTTTTAAATGCTATTTCAATATGCATCTTACACGCAAGTTGCTTAAAATAAAATAAAATAAATTATTTATATAAGAAAAATTATTTTAAATTTAACTAACGTTTTCCAAATTTTAAGTAATCTATGATTGAGATTCATGTTAAAATAATACCTTTTATTCTAAACAATTCTTATATCAATATTTTTTTATTCTTAAAATAAAATATTGTATTAAACAAAAGTTTGTAAACATCTCCTACTCAAGCAAGCTTCCTACAATCCTTGATCAGAGAAGGAAAGATGCTTGTATAGTATATGATATAACAAGATTCCAAATTATTTTAATTTTGAGTTTTACAATGTCATATATGTTAAAGCACTCTACATAAAAATTTACTTCATTGCTAAATTTTTGAGTGTTTAATATTTTTGTAAACCTTACAATTAACTAATACTTAAAATACTTTTTTTCATTAATTTTCTCATTAAAAATATATTTTTTTCTTGGAAAAAAAGGTTTGTTTAGTTTATATACCACACGAAAGGAATAAGAAAATCAACCACATCAATATCAGTATAGATACCAACAGCATATTGAACCATGATTCAAATGGCAAAGTCAATATACCCCACATTGTGACAAATAATTAAGATTAGGTAAAGTAAAAAAAAAAAATGATTAACTGGTGAATAAAACAGAATCTAACTCAAAGACTCTTCACTTTCAAAGAGTAAAAAAAAAAAGTCAAGATTACAATATTAATCATAATATTCTTTAACCCACTTATTTACTGAGAAGAAACGAAAACATGTTCAGTATTAGTTGATTGAATAATTCATTTAGTCCATTCTTGTTTGAAGAAGAAGTCCACTTTCTTTAGTATTTTTTTCAAAAAAGCAAATATGAAATAATAAATCTAGTTTTTCCCTCAAATTTTGAATAATTGTCATGAATTCAAGTTGATTATATTTCACTTTTTTCTTGAAAAAAAAATTCATAATCTTACAGATTCAATCATCGATATAATATATAAAAAAAGAATTCTAGATATTTGATATTTTTATTTTTAAATGAAATCTCATTTTAACGGTAATTTCATTAGATATCTTATAATTAAAATTACTTTTTTTTCTTATCCAGTCCCTTCACTACCACGAATCTCACAAATTCATTTAAATTCAGACATCTTAATAAATATAAATAATGATAATGATAAAAAAAAATGAGATATTCAATATAATATAATAATATGATCATGTTACTTATTTTAAGTATCAAATTTTATGACTTAAGATTAAGAGACTATATAGTGTTTAAATAAATAATTTTGTCATATAATCGATTAGAAGATGAGATATTTCTAGAAGTATAATCTATTAAAAATGAAACTCGTATAATAAAAATCAATTAGAATGACGTGTCTGATCAAAGAATCCAAGACAAAATAATTCACTAAAAGCCACGGAAATTTGACTAACAAACATAAACCATATATTTCTAAATTAATTTTAGATTATAAGGATTGAATTATGATAACACTAATAATTAATATACAAAATTACTTAGATTTGAAAAGAGAGTGAGAATAAATAAGTATTGAAAAAGACAAAAAGAGAGTAAAGAAAAAAAGTAGGGGTAGTTTTGAGTAAAGGGGGAAAATTGTTCGAAAATAGATGAAATGGTGTGAATGGTTGGTTGTGTTGTGAGATGGGACATGGGACAGGATGTGATAATGCCATTTATGTCAAAGTACTTAGGTTTGTATGGCAACGAAACGTGTGTGCCCACTGAAACCGCACATGCCAATGCAACAAACAACAGACCAGTGAAGGGGACCACTCGCACGACCCTTTAAAATTCATCTTTTTTTTCCACCAATCAACACAACCGTCATGTAAGAATATTCTTTCCTATTACTAGTATTACTAGTATGCACTCACCCTTCGTTTAATTTGAGTTGGGTTCAATATAGAAGAAATAGAGTTTGTGATTAATCTTTATTGTGTATAAATCACATATAGGATTGTCTATTTATAGTAGAGAGATACAATTAAAAGAGTAACTGAAAGTAATAGAATAAACAGAAGATATTTACTACAAGAAAATCAAGTATTACCGACGGATATTTACCGATGGATTTGTATCCGTCGGAAAATAATTATTATCGATGGATATAAAATATTTGTGGAATTTGATCTTACTGACGGATATATCCGTTGGTAAAATAATAATTAGTTACCGACGGATATATCCGTCGATAAATTCGTCGGTAAATCCATCTGTAAATTACGGACGGATATATACGTCGGTAAATCCATCTGTAAATTACTTGACGGATATATCCGATCGGTAAATTAACAATCAATAAATATTCAACTAATTAAAAAATTAAATATTTTTTATTTAATAATTTAATTTAATCATAATTAGATTAATTTATAATAATTTCTTAAATTAAATAATTTTAAAAAATAAATATTTAATTATATATAAATATATAAAAATATTTAATTATATATAAATATATAAATATATATATATATATATATATAAATATATATATAAAAATATATAAATATATAAATATAATTTATTTGTAAATTATTATCAAAAAATCTAGTAGCTTAGTGGTTGGAGTATCGGTTTCTAACTACTAGGTGCTTGGGTTCAAATCTCGCTAACTGGTAATATTAAAATTTCTTGTAGTGATTATATCTAACAATATTAAATAATATTTAAACAATATCTAACACTCCCCCTCAAGCTGGAGCATACAAATCACTTGAGTTAACAAACTCAGTCTTGATGTCTCCAGACATAATCTTTTCTCGAATGAAATGATAGTCTCCAAATTGTAACTCTCTGAGCAATTGCTTGAGCCAAACAAGTTCACAAGCAGTTGAGACCATAACTCTATATTAGATCTTGCCACAATACTTTGTTTCTTACTTTTTCATGAGACCAAGTTACCACCAATGGAGACACAATATCCAGATGTGGAGCTTCTATCCGAAGGAGATCCTGCCCAATCAGCATCTGAGTAGCAAACAACTCTTGTATGGTTATTAGAATCATATAACAATCCTTTTCCAGGAGATCCTTTAATATACTTTAAGATACGAATGACTGCATTCCAATGATCTTCACATGGGGAATTAAGAAATTGGCTTACCACACTGATCGCAAAGGAAATGTCGGGACGAGTAATCGTAAGATAATTCAATTTTTCAACCAATCTTCTATACTTGCTCGAGGATCAGGTATAAGCTCCCCCTGATTTGGTAAAAGTTTA